GGAACTAATGCCTCAATATTTTGGTTCCTGGGAAGCCTTAGATATTGTAGGTAGTGAATTGGATGGTCCCTTGTACGTCATTCGAATCCCTGGTCGCCTACGCACTTACCCTGTGTTTCATGCCTCAAAGCTTGCACCTTCGCTGAGACGCAAGACTTCCCATCAAGGAGATCAATGCTGCCCCCAACCATGGATGGTCACGTGGACGCCGATGATATCCTGGAACACAGAGACATGCCTGTTCCCAAGCCAGCTGGCCGAGGAAGACCGCCTAAACCGATGAGAGAGTACCGGGTACGGCTCAGACATCATACGGATCCTAAGGAAGATCGATGGTTCACAAGAGAGGAACTTGTCAAGACAGCTCTTCAGATCGTCACCGAGTACGAGCAAAGACTGAAGGGGAAGGCACCGGCATGAACCCTCTCAGCGGACTTTCGAAGCTAAGGGGGATGGAATGCAAGGAATGAGCCCTTGCAGGGTCCTTATCAGACATGCACATTTTTTGGGCAGAGGCCCTCAGCACGCCCTGTGCCCGCCCTAAGTGAAGGCGGGCCTGAATATTCACCGGAGGCCAAAATTTGTCGTTTTCCATATGTGGGTACTCAGGCAGTTGCAGCATGCCAGTTGGTTGAATGGAAGCGTGAGCCTCCCTGTGCTGCACCGTACAGTTGGGCCCAGGCCTTGGTAGTTGCGCCTGGGCACACACACTCACAATGCAAGGCAGATACATCCCGAGGTGGGTACGGGCCTACGAAAAAGCAGCATTGTCGACGTACATACCCCGGGTCCTGTGCAAATGCAGCAAACGGCCCACGTCTGGAAATACCGGCTGTGCCCAACTGTAAAGGGCCCAGGCCCTCGACTGCACAGCTGGGCCTGGGCACAGGCACGGGGGCCTGACCGGAAGCTACTGGAAGCTCCCCAGCCAGGCCACACACAGCCAAACAGAGGCTGCCACTTCCATGTAGGGAAGGAGGCAGCCAGGGTCAAGGAGGCTGGCCCACGCAGGCATTGCGGTCACGCTGCTGCGTTGCTGCACGAGAGGCTGCGTACTGCGTTAGCGGCCAGGGCGCGTGCGGGCGCTTGTGAGGTGCGAGGGGCGCTGCTGGGCAGCGGAGCGCAGGCAGCCATAGCCGGGCTGCAGGGCGCTAGGGGGTAAGGGGCGATCGGTGGTCTTCAGGAAGGAGACGAGATACGTACCTGGTGCATGAGGGAGGTCGGCTATGGTGTTTATGTCATGTACATTGGTCTTCAAAGTCGAATGAGCCTGTTTCGTGAATGCGGATGTGGTAGGATAGGCAAGTGGTGTAGGCTGGGCGCTGGGCGCCAGACAGAGAGGAGCAACATTGGATACTGTGTTGGTGTGGCCTGAGGGCTTGAACATTGGCTCATGAGGTTATTGTATTGCTCTTAATTGGATGGAATCTCGGTGCATTTGTGCTCTCTGCTTGTACACGACTACTTGGACATCTGTGTGATTTCGCAACCTGGCTTTCTGTATATCGTTCTCCCTCACATTCCTTGCAAAATGGAGAAATGGTCAAAATTGAAAAAGCAGAGGAAAAAGAAAGGTTTCTTTTCAGAACAATACGGAGACTTGACAACAAATATTTGCATTAGCTGATTTAGTAAAGGTTTCTGGATTGTGATTCAAAGCATTTGAATGCCCGTGAAACAACGAAGCGTATGGGGTTGGATGAGGTTGGCATCAGAGTCTCTTATCTGTACAGTCTCAAAAGATCTAATAATGTAACCAGAAAATACTAAATAGACTCTATCAGGTAGATCATAGCCGTAATCCTGGATGGACCCTACAATCCACCAAACGGTTGAATTGACCTAATGAAAACTGAGCAAGCCATCACTGATCTCGGTATAGTGTGCCATCGCTATGGGGACGAGGGTGAGGATGGTGTTACACAATGAAGCAATTGGGAAGAGAAAATTTCTGGGTGCATAGGTGAGCCTTTTGAAGGGGAGTTTATTGCGTACAAAGGTAAGAAAGGGGAGGACTGAGGAAAAAGCCTGCTGTGCCGTCGAAAGATTGAGGGGGGCGGATCAGAACTTCCAAAATCTTAATTATCAGGTCTTTCAAGAGCAAGTTTCCTAATTGGTAGTATGCGTAAACGGAGATATAGCCAATTTGTTGATCCCAACAATTAGCACTTTGCTGGTGAGGAATTGAATGTCATTGCGTAGGTCTTCACATTCGAGAGCAGGTGTTGCATCCATTTTTTTTTTTCTTTTTGCATCCCTATGTTTTTGCACATCAGTTACCTTCATCTGCTCAATGATTTCAATTGATTTGTTGCTTTGCTGGATTAGCAGGAGCGGTATTTCTCGATTACTTTTAAGGAATCCAAGATCTTGACCCAGGCACAGATGAACTCAGCTAATGCAGTTCTGACGATGTGCGGTTGAGCGTAGTATGGTTAAACCGCCAGTATGTTTCTGAGCTATTTGCTCTGGGGCGGTGATCAACACGCCGTGTCCTTGGGGACTTGGCCTACCAGATGGAAAAGGCTGGCGGCACCAGGCAAAACGGCGGGATTTTGCACCCATGCCAGTTCAGCAAAACTTGGTGAGCGGCAGACATCACCATTCGGAAAGAGGGGCTCGAATGCAGTGGTGATTTGAGGCCTTGGGAAAGGAGTATATGAGAGGAGTTTTTGTGAGGTATATTTGGCTCCATAGTGATGGTATGGGATGGAGTGGAGTAAGGTTGAGGCAGGCATAGAGCACCAATACGCAATAAAAGCGAGGAGGTGCGAGGAACCCCTAACATGGACACACCGGGAAAAGGAGATGGAATTCAACGAGTAATGGAGAAGAAAATTCCGAAATTCAAATGCTGGTTTATTTAGTGTGGATTCCAATGCTTCCCATATAATACCAGCCAATTACAAGAGAAGCAAGCTGCAAGGATGAGCACTGCGGCGAGGATAGATTTGAAATGAACAGAGTCCACGATGCTGCCCGTATTCATGATCCGTCTGTTGTGTCCAGAAGGATCACAACTTCACAAGTCATAATCCCTACCGAATCCTGCACATTCACACATCAAGTTGCATCTGGAAGTATAGGCCGGGCAATGCCAGTGGTAACAGTTCTGGTTGAACAGGGATGCTTTTGTACTGGCCGTTATGGGGCTACTTCTAGTTGGTTTGCCCGAGGCGGGCTGGGTGATCCCCCCTCCTGCATGGTGAGGGATGACGCATGCTGGAGGTGGGCTGGGCGATCCCCTGAGTGCTTTGGGGACTCTTTTGCCTTGGGAGGGTTGGGGTGCTGAGGAATTGGCTGAACACAATAGTTAAATGATGGCCTTACAGAGGAATGTCTTTTCTTGGAAGAGTTGGGACCTGTTCCTGCTCCTGGCTCCCTGCCTCTCTTCTCACCAACATGAGCGTCCTGCATGGGAGGACGATCTTGACCATAGTTCTGGGGAACTACTCCAATAAGCGAGTACCAGTCAGCCATTGAGGAGAACAGTAGTAAGAGGCAGAAGAGCTACTGGAATGTCAATGGAATGAACTCCGATGAACTCTAAAGAAGGGAAGGGGAGTGACAGATATGGAAGCTTGGGTTGGTTTGGGAAGGGGCACGAAACCACAACATCCACACTAAGGTCGCTGGAGGCGAGATCGGGATGCCTTTCATTTGGAGTAAATGAGGAGTCCTTTAGGACGTGTTAAACTTGGAACGATACAGAGACCCTTGCACAAGGATGACACACATAAGACGAAAAATGGTCCAAAAAAAAAAAAAAGAGAGCACATGATGAGGGAGTGCCTGTCTCTGTCTTACGACATCAAAGGTGAGTTTGCCATAGCAACGAGTGGCGAAGAATTATACAAGGATATCACCACGTATAAGAGAAAGGAAGAGCTCCAGTAACAGAACTGCACAGGACAGCAGGCATATTGAAAGCCTGATAGAAAGGCTGGATCAGATGACCTCGATGGAAACTGGAGGGGCATAAGCACCTCAGCGTGTGTGCTTGGGATGTTACAATACATCTACAGGCATAGTACAACACGTTACATACGATTGACCCTGATTACCAATGAGCAATGAAGTAATCTGCAATTAGCAATCAGCGCATAAACTAAAATTTGGTCTAGGACATCAGCAAGGAGAAGCCAGATGCTAGAACGAGAACATCAAGGCTTGATGAGAACATTTGAGGGAAGACAGGGTCGTCACCAACCTTTACAGAGAAGACAGGGCAGGTAATGCCAATTGCCATTCACTTGGACGGAATGGAGAAAAGTTCATAGGGAGAGGGACAAGGGGAGGGAGAAAGCGGGATGATAAGCAAGGGTGCGGGTGAAAAGACAGGGGAGGTAATGCCCGTTGCCATGAGGAGACAGGGAAGTAATGCCAGTTGCCATTCACTTGGACGCAGTGGAGAAAAGTTTTCAGGGAGAGGGAGGAAGGAGAGAGAGGGACAAGGGGAGGGAGAAAGGGGGATGATAAGCAAGGGTGTGGGTGAGAAGACCGAGAGACTTAGTCGATTGAACATAGGAAACAGTGAGAGAATTGCCAGCCGATTGATTGGTCAATAGTAGGTGATTGGTCAATCCAACAAATGCGAAAGTGCTGAACTTTGAATGGATATAACAACGATATGAGTTCTGGGGTTTCGCTTATTGTTTTGTCAATTCTTCCTTTCTTCTGAAGACTTTGTGGAATATTGGTATAACCATGTCTTCAGTCGTCCATTTTTTGTCTTTGGGTTTGTAGTCAGAGATTTTGAAGAGCGTTGTGGACTTTCGCTCAAGTTTTGGAGCCTCGCACACCGTTTTGTCAAAACTTGCTTTCTTCTAAAGACACTGGTATCTTGGGATAGCCAGGTCTTCCGTCATGCGTTGTCTTTGGGGGATGATTTATGGTACTCTCTGATTTTGAAGTGTGTTTTGGAATTCCAGCTCATGTCTTCGTGGACGCTCTTTCCTTGTCTGACATCTTACATTGTCTTACATTGTGCTGATGAGCAGGTAACCCCCAAGGAGGATGTGTACATATCTGATGATCTGCCACTTGCACACATATTTGATCGGACAGTTGAGGAGTTCATGATTTACGAAGGAGCAAAGATTGATTTCTGGCAAGCGGTATGTATTTGCTTTCTTTTGTTGATTACGTGGCAGCAAGCAGGGGTTATTGGCAGACTTTTCAAGACTGTCTCACTGGCACCCTACACCTTGTCTGGGGCAATCAGACCTGTATCTTCTTAGGCCAGGTCTGTTTCGCAGTCATGTTTTGACTGTGGAGTGAAGCTGCCAATGGGGTGGTATATCTGCCTTTTCAACTGGTGTATGTGGCTTCCATCCAAAATGAAGAGCATTAGGTGTCCCCATGGTGGTTTTTTGTACTGAGGAGTTGTAAACGCTCTCCACCTTAGCCAGTTTTCAATTCCAGTCAGTCTGATCAGGCCTGATGAGGTGATGCAGCACCTGCTGAACGGTGCGCTTCATGCCTTCAGTCTGTCCATCTGTTTGGGGGTGATTGGCAGAACTCATCTTGAGTTCAGTACCAACAAGCTCCATCGGATTGCCCCACATCTCACTAATAAAGCGAGAATCCCTGTTGCTGATGATCCCTTTTGGGAACCCGAATTCTGAACACCAATGATCCCATAATAACTCAACCACTTCCTTTGCTGAAGAATGTCCTTTTTGCATAGGTATTAACCTAATAAACTTGGAAAACCGATCAACGATGACAAAGAGTGTGTCATTTCTATCCTTTGACACTGGCAGCCCACTCATGAAGTCCATGGAGATTGATTGCCCAGGCCCTCTTGGTATAGGCAACGATTGCGAAAGTCCATACGGTTGATGACTTTGTTTTTTTGTTTGTTGGCAAACAACACAACTATTGACATATTTCGCCGCATCATTCCTCATGAAAGGCCAATAGAAACGCTCTGCTAACCTCATAAAGGTCTTCTTGAAACAAAAATGCCTTCGAGTGTTGTGGCATTCGTCAAGCACGTCCACCCTCAATTCTTGTGGCATGCAAAGTCTTCGTATGTGTGACGTTCCAACCTCACGCCCTGTGCTGTTTTCCGGATGGAGTGATTAAAAATGCGGAACAGGCCCTGGAAGAATAACAAAATGGGTGTGCTAATCGATAAGCCCTACTGGGCCCCTACTTGCAACTGGTCGGCCGCCCTAAGTGAAGGCAGGCCCGACAGACGACAAGAGGCCTATTTTTGACTACTTCGCAACTGGGGAAAATTCAGGCAGTTGTGCAGCGCCAGTTGGTTGAAGGCACCCAGGCCCTGGCCTCCTTTATCGACTGTATCTAAGTCAGGCCCTGGGCGAGATACGCAGCATAGGCCCAACTCAGACAGCGGGCAGTTGGGCCTRGGTAACTGTTGGTGGCCCTGGGCCTGATTCGTTTGGTCTGAGGCTCAGCCTCCCTGGGCCTACCAGAAGCTTCTGGGCAGGGACCCAGCACAGCCAGGCTGCACGCAAGCAGGCTGGCCATTTCCATTTAGGAAAGGGCCAGCCTAGGCATTCGGCATTCGGGCACTGGCTGCGTTGTGCGCAAGCACTGCTGCGCTATCGCCTGCCAGGCTCACGCGCTCACGGGCGAGCTGGAAGGAGCAGGCAGCCATAGCCGAGCTGTGCTGCTGTGTGCTGGATGGGGTGCATGGTGGTCCTTGGGAGCAAGTGGCATCTGTGAGTTGGGGAACGAGGTTGTGAGCGACACGAGAGACATACCTGGTGCTTGAAGCGTGCGGCATTGGCCGAGATCTGCTCGTACTTCGGGGAGCTGTTGACGTCATCAGCGGCATTGTAGAGTAGGCTAGATAGGATCTGCCATCTGTAGTCTGGGTGCCGAGCGCCAGATAGGATATCAACATTGGTTCTTCGTTGATGATGATGATGAGACTATCCCAGCATTGTCAATTATGAGCTTTTGGTGTGCTCTTAGTTAGTGAAACTCGTGATGCAATTCTGCTTTTGGTTCGAGGTCACGACTATCTGGTCTCATGTGTATGATGCTGTTTGATTGCTGAAGYTCGCTATTGCTCATCTTACTTGCACTACGGATTTTTGGAGAATTGAGTGTGGCGACACACACACAACTGAAATCCCCCATGTGGTTCCAATTTTAGTGATAAATGACCATCGCCGCGCGGGAAAGAAACAGCGTGCCCAGCTTTCAAATGTTCGTTTAATCCAAAAAGTATCTTTGTACTTCCATGCGGGCTACTCGACGCCTTTTCGAACGGAAAGGTGGGGGTACGCATGTGGGATCTCGTTTTTGAATTAAGTCCCGGTGCCACTCGTTACAGAGCTCAAAATCCGACATGGACGGCCTCAGCCTGGTTGCTCTTTCCTTAAGCTCGTCCTCAACACGTGTCCTGTAGTGGAACCCCTTTTTCCGATAATGCTCCGTACGGTGACAATCACTACAAAGAGTGTTGGGCCAATGGGGTGCCACCGCCGTCCACGGGATGACAATCAATTCGGTTAAAAGGCAATAACAAAGAGTAAGGCGGAAAATGAGTATCAACAATGACAAAACCAGCGCCTACGAATCCTGAACATCTTGTTTTGGGAGGGAAGTAATAACGCCCTCCGATTTTTGCGACGTCCTCTCGTACATCCCACTCACATACACTTGTCCTTTCCTCGCTATATGGGAACGGACGTTGTGGGCATACGGGAAGTCGGCGCCCAGTCGGATCGATATAATCGGTCCACATAGAATAAGCACGCCGATTGCACTTGTCTACTCAATCTGTTAGTCGATCGAAAGCATATCAAAGGAATAAATAGACACAACACCAGGTTCTCATTACCTTCCGTTTGTAATGCAGGCTGACCATAGGCGTGAGTCCATGCAACTCCATCCAATCAAGAAGGCAACCATCATGTTACATGCTGCGCCTGCACACGAGGGCCATTTTCCAGGCCCTGCGTCCCTCAGGCTAAAAGCCTGAAATTCAGGCTTAAAGCCTGAAAACCAGGGCCTACAGGCCCCGTGACTGTTCAGCCCAAAAGCCTGCCTGAAAACAGGGGTCTACAGTCCCTGTGTCGTTTCAGACTAAAAATGGCAACAGCCTTTTTAGCCTGAAACGAAGGGCCATTTTTGGTCGTTCATCAGAACGACCGGCCCTGAAACTCAGGCACGGAACCAGGGTTTCGGGAACAGGCTATTCTTAGCCTGTTCCCCACGCCAGCCTCAGCAGCTGCTGCAGCACCAGCCCCTGGCACACTTGCATTGGCAAGAGCAGCCTCCTCGGCCTGGCTCGCCCTTCAGGCAGTCAGGAGGCAGGCCGAGGAAGTACATAGGGACTTCCCATGCGCTGCACAAGAAGGCAGGAGGCAGTTGTAGTCTTCAGGATTCGGGAGCAGCACTCTGGAGGGAGTAGCGTTAGCCCTTAGTCTTCAGCGCTGGGCGCAGTAGGTAGCTGTAGTCTCCAGCTCTGGGCGCCATAGCTAAGGATAGCACTAGAGAGAGAGAGAGATTGGGCGGAGGCCTTGGRTACTCACCTGCAGCGCCGTTGCTCCAGCTTCGTCTTCGAGGTACCTGCAGCACAGCGCCAACATCACAGGTTAGTATCTGGCTCGTAACAGAGAGAGAGAGAGCTCTTCTTCTTCCTCTTCTCAGTCCACCATCTCCTTCTCCCCCTCTCATCATCTGACTTCACTGCATCTGCAGACTACGAGAGAAGTGAGACAGAGCTTGGTGACATCGGATCCAGACTCGACTTCTGGACTTCAGACATTACAACGAGGGATTGTTTGGGACTTGTGACAAAGACTTGGTGTTGACGACATTCCCATCTCTCTCCCTCCTTTCGTCTGATTCCCTCCTCTTCGTCTGTGTATGTCTGGACCTGGCGCTTTCTTCCTGTGTACAGCGCCAGGCTCCTTCACACTTGGTGATGGATACGATGTATGTTTGGTCTGCATTCAAACATTGATTGGGCTAGTCATTAGCATTCTAGCACTCTGCTTCGCTATCTTTTGCTACGTGAATGAGGTCAGTCCCGGTCAGGTCAGGACTTGTATCTAAATCTTCCCCTGCGCTATTCAGCACCATTTTGTATGTATGAGAATGCACATTGCTCGTTGAGATTCTACTTGCACTGCATTGTCCCTTCAGTCCTTTTTATCACATTGCGGATCCTCGGTTATGATGTACATCGCTCATCTGAGCATGTAACACATCATTCCTAAGAATAAACCATGTTCAAGGATCAGATACATCGAAGCAGCCGTCGGCCACGTACAGGCATGCTTCCTTCCCCACTGATTTTCGCATTTGGCTGAGTTCACCCGGTGATACTCCGATCGTAAAAAATACGCGGAGGCAGAAGCTCGATGATTGCCATAAACACATACCATTCATTCGCATGAGCAAGAAAATACAGGTAGACATGCTTCATATAAAAATCAGAGCAACAGCTCTGTCAATGCACCCAAGWAGACGCCCTCTTCCTGACTTGGTTTGGTGCTCCCTCTGGTTCGCCTGTTGGATTGTGAGCATCATGAGTAAGGGCCAGAGACCACTCAGGCATCATAGGTGCACATCATTCGTCAGGTGCAAAGGACCAAGGGAGGGACGAGGCATAATCACTTTAGCTCGCCGGTCTCTCAAATTCAATGATGCTCGTTCCCGCGAGATCCGATTGAATTCAACGAGATGAGTGGGAAAAGATCTCACACGTAGATAGGGGCGAGGGAGTCATCAGAGCGCTCAAGTACCTATGAAGGAAACAATGAGAGGATGAGGGAGAGGGGAGAGAAAAGCAAAGTCAGAAGATGTTGATGGAGCCGTAGCTGACTGAAGAAGGGGACTAAAAGAAAAAGGGAAGGAGTTACAAGCACACAAGTCGATTTGAGAAAAACCGACATTCTGCCATGGACTTACCTTCCAAAACAAGAGGAGCGATTGAAAATCAAGGCGCGCAAGCCCTCTGCTCTCTGATCATGGCCCTGGGCCATGCAACCACTCGTACACGCATGCACCTTCACCACCCAGGTACTGGCGATCCCGATGGCCACCTTCCGACCTCCACATTGCAGGGATCGTCACCCCGCCAACTCAGCTTCTACACCGACTTGCTCGGATCCCACAGTCCATCGTGGCCACCTGGCGCACAACCGCGCACAACTACAGCCGACTCGTCGGTACTTTCCAACTCGCTGATCACCACATCCTCTAGCCACTGCTTCTTGGGAGCTGGCAGATGGGTTGGCTCGCTAAGACACGCGCAGTTCCTACGTAAGTTTACAAGAAGACAAAGAAAAGTCTGAAAATTTTGAGGAAGCAAAAATGTTTTGAAGTGGGAGGGCCATTTTTCACTTATTTTCAAAGATTAGTGCCAA